GATAACCCTTCAGTACAAAGTACTGTTATCAACGGGGTCCTGCTAAGAATTAAAAACTAATAAACAAGAATTATTAAGATATATAAAATAAGATACATAGTAAAACCCGTTAAAAATACAATGGAAATTACAAGTAATAATCGTCTAAGGCTTTCCTAAATAAAACTCTACAATTAATGTTTCTTAAACTTAAAGGCAATAAATTAAAAATCGAGGCACCTAAAAAGTAAAAGCTACGGCGCGCAAAATCTAGTCTGACTTTTGGTAGTTTTGCAGTTTTCCTATTGTTTCTAGTGTTTAAAGCGTTATGATGTAATCGGTGAAAATAGTCTTTAAATGGAAAGCATGTAGTTCCATTAAGGCAATCAAATACAAAGCAGCACGTTCTTTTTTTAAAAAAAAGTTCCCAACAGTTAAAAATCGAAGATCACAGTTCTGCGAACTGCATTTTGGGGAAATGATTTCGAGGCTTCGGGTCTCAATGGAGCGGATCGTGCGTTTGCGGGACTCTGACCATCCAAGACTAGTATACCCGCAATACGTAAATATATTGGCATAATCATCGATTGGCACACGGAATTGATTACCAAATAGAAGATGAAGCTCTATGTTCTCTAAGAAAATAATGCGCGTATGACGTCTAGAAAAAACTGCTAATGGACGGGACTGCGTTCAGCAGTTTTTCTAGACCTCAAAAGCGCATTATTTTCTTAAGAAAACATAGCAACACCATCTTCTATTTGGTTTTGACTGTAGCATGAAAAGGCAAAAGTATATTCATCTGAGAAGGGGTAGTAATTGTGCTGGCACACAATTGAAAAGTTTCATCACATTTTGTTGTTGTTGTTGTTGTTGTTGTTGACCACAACTACCAGAATTCCTGTCGTTTGTTCCTTGTTATTTAAATTTTGAATTCCCAGTTGGATTTAAATAACAATTGCCTTAATTAACATAAAAAACAGGAAAAGTGAAGGATTCTGGTAGTTGTAATCAAATGACGCCATCATGCAAATCTCCTATTCAAGAAAATATATTAGGCATTGGCCTGAAAAGTGTACATGTATTTATGAAATTGCTTCTGTATTATAGTATGATTTTATTAGAAAAAAAGAAATGCTAAATAGCTTAGTTACTAGAATATTACAATGTATAAGAGCTGTTTCTGAATTAAGTATTGGTTAGTCCAAAAGTGGCAAGAAAATTGGCCTGTTCCAGATGTGTGGTGAGCTGGGACCGGCGCAGCACGCAGAACGGCACGTGAATGAAAAGTAAAGACGTTCGGCGTGTTTTCCCAACTAATCTGACGCCTAGGAGAGCCAACAGTAAAATATTCAGTTTGAACGAAGTTCAAGAATAGTTCAGTTTCGCAGAATTAAGCAATTGTGACAGTTTATTACTGGTGATTGAGGCTTAATGTTATGTTCGTTTTCTTTTTCTTCAATTTGGTTAAAAATTATTACTACACTGTTATAAATACAGGAATGTCTGATTTGTCTTCTCTACTGGCTCAAGAGTTAGTGGTTGATAATTAAAATATACCGGTAACAGAAACAAAACTAGAGTTCAAATTAAGACTGTACTCTAGCGAACGCAGCGAACGTTAGTTACCAAGTTCTGGCTTGGAAATTTAGCTTTTGGTACCTTCAGCTTCTATGGTGTATCTGGAAAAATTCCATTGGGCACTAATAGCTTTCGACCAGCGACTCTCTCGTCTGTCCAGAATAGAAAATAGGAATAAATTAAAATTAAAGTTATATGCTGATAGCGTACATTAATCATTGAGAGAACAAGGTATTAAAATTGACGATACTACCATCAGTGATTTTCTTGTTTTATTCATAAACGAGCTGAATGTGTTAGGAACCAGTCAGGGTTTGCACGCACTTTGAAAATCCTTGAATTGAAAATCAAAATGCAAGGACTTGAAAGTTCGTGAAAAGTACTTTGGGTCCTTGAAAAACTTTGAACAGACTGTTTGGCCAATAAGGCAAACCACGTGCCCGTATTCAGTTCATGCAAAAAGGAAGCGATCTTAGTTCCTCGCTTACGTCCGTAATGGAAGAACTAAAACAAGTATCCCTGAAACCCGAGCGTCTAGTTTCACATTCTAATGGTATTGTTTTCGTGGATGGGGTTCTTGAAAAATTGGAATTGTGTTCTATAATGTCGTTAAAAAGTCCTTGAATTTTTAGTCCAAAAAACGAACTCTTGATGAAAGATGTTCGCGAGTTACAATGTACATGTACTTGTTCCTTGTTCTTCTAAGAGACAGGGTGAGTGGCACGGTGTAGATCTAGACGATTCGACTAATTTCTGAAACAAAAGAAGAATACTGAGTAATATCCAATACCTTCTTTAATCATGGCTAAGGGTTCTCAAGAGCCTAACGGCTCACAATTGAGAGAGCTTAACTCGGTCTCCTCGTGAAACGACTAGGAGGAATTAGTCGATCGCAAATTACTTCACCACGAGTCCCTGCCCCACACCACACCTCCCTCAGCAGTTTGTCACGTTTAGCAAACAGTTTTCCATGCGTAAAGAGGACTGTGAGAGTAAAATTTCTAGCGCTTGAAATCGGAGTGCAGTGCGTTAATCAGTAAAGCAAAGTATTGTTTTTGAGTGACAAACAGAATTGGACGTCGATCTTCGTGAAGAGTGTGGATAACACAGCATCTCGGCATTCTTCGTCACGGATCACGTGACAGGTAAATGTGATCATCTCTAGACTGAAAGATTTGCTGTAATAATAAATTCCCACAACTGACTGAAAAAAAGGGACCTAAGGCCACCGAAATGGTAATAAATCATCACTATAGCCTTAAGTTTGCTTTTTGTTGTTCTCTTTGACGTGAGCGCCTCCCTTATATATAATGTTTTCATTTTTTTTGTTTTTGTTTTTTCCATCGGACTATAATGACGTTAATTGAACTTTATGTAGCCGATGAATTTCAGTTGCTCACTGCTGAAGATTTTGTCAAAAGACTTGTTTACTGGGCTCAATGGAAAAATCTGTTCCATATTTCATTTCTCACGTTATTTCTCATTTTTCTGGTTCCAGGAATCTTAGTTTTATTTCTCTTCCCTCAAGGTCTCTAAGGCTATTCTATGAACTCACAAGTATGTGTCCGGTACTTGTGAAAAATTTGAATATGTAAATTTTGTGTGTATGTGTTCGTCTGTGTTTTACCTTTGTAATTATCACATGATCCCAAATGTGTGCAATTACGAATAACTTCTGCAGTTGAATACAACTTTCGCTTGTCAACAGCCTTAAAACGAAACAAGAAATGTAGAGCGCATCAAAATCATGGAAACAGTCGATTTGTTTGCTGTTGAAATATATGGAGATGGAAGTTTCTCTCCTGGCGAAATTATCTACGGCGACGTTTATCTGAAGACAAACGAAGAGTTAACACTCAGAGAAATTCGCATTGAGTTCTATGGGGAAGCAAAGGTTTTCTGGACAGAGGCCCCAAGAAAGAAGAGGCTTGGAATGCGAAACTATACCAACTATGAACAGTATTTAAATATTGCAGCAACAGTTTACGGCAAGGGTGAGTATTTCAAGCATTCCGAGTTTGCTCGGAATTGTACATTGTTATTGAACGATTGCAAGTCATAGTACTTCTAAGAAACAAACACCAAACTTACCATAGTTAAAGTTTATCAATAGAATCTGTACCACTGACATTCTAAACGACCAAAAGCTAAATTGTACTTTATAAATAACTGCTTTTAACAGCATCACGACCAATATCATATCTATTACAGCTAATAAGAGACAATTATACATGCAAGTAATATGGGTAACAATTTTGCTCTCTACTGAGCCGAAACCTGTCTTTCCACGTTACGTGCTTAAAATTGCACTTGGTAAAAACCAAGATTTATTTGATAATGTCTTTTTGCCAAAGTTTGTAAACTTTATTGATTGTTCACTTACAATGTTTTCCCAGGAGGTAGATGGGAAGCTGATAGCCTCTGCCTGGCCCTCCCCTCCCTTCTCCATCACTTATCATGGGAGAAAAATATCTTTGATATGTTTCCTAATCGAAAGCCTTGAACTGTCCTTTTAATAGCTATCGGGGTTTCTCGGCTAAAATCTTGTGACGTTTATATACCGGCCAACAGTGCTCAAATTTTGTTTGAGAATGCGTGAGGTAAATTGTACCTTATTAATCTGCCTTTCGAATTCGTCGGAGTTTTTAATTTGTCTTATTTTATGACTGAGAAAATTTCTTCATTGTAATTGGCTGAGAGTAGGCCAAATTATCGTTAATTTTTAATTTGCACTGCAGTGCAAATTAACGCGCGCACGTTCGCAACTTTCTGATAAATGAGTAATTGTATGAAAGCTCAAGCAATTAAGGATTTACACTGCTAGTGATATTTGAAAATTCTTTCAAATTGAACTCGCCTAAAGGCTAGTGCAATTTTGAGAGAATTTTCAAATATAACACTTTGTGTAAAAACCTTAGTTGCTCTCGCATTCATATTTTCCGGCTCGCCTACACAAATTCTGTATCTGCTCCTGAGAAAAACGGGTACTTGAATACCGCTTAATTGCCCTCAAAAAGTCTTTAAAATAGTCCTTAAGAAGATATGTATGAACCATATGAAACTTTATTGCGTCTCTTGACAGCTCCTGGTCAAATCGGCGCCAACCCTGTCCTCTCCCCTGGAGAACATTCTTTTCCATTCGAATTTCGACTCCCAGAGGAAAACCTGCCAAGCACGTTTGAAGGAAAACACGGCTATGTCAAATACTGGCTGAAGGCCATCCTTGATCGACCGTGGAAAGATGACATGGCGATCGTAGAACCATTCACGGTGACAGAGAGAGTGGACGTCAATCAGCCGGAATTTCTGGTAAGGCAATAATTGATTTGTATAGGGCACCTCAAGGGAATCCGGCACAATAGTTGAGTGGGAAGAAAGATTCCGAGTTTGGCAACAGATGCCAAGAGGCAACTTGGAAATGTGAAATGTGAAAATAAAATGCGGAATTAGTGGTGAATTGAGGAAAATCTAGTCACTGGTCTTTTTGGACTCCAGACTTAAGTCTGGAACCGAGCTGGTTCGTGGTGTTGGTGTTCAGTCGGGAAAAATACTCTTCTCTCTTTTTTCGAATCAAGTTGGTAAATTTGGCCAGAGAAGGAAATTGTGATGTTGACAATATAACACACTTTGTTTCTTATCAAGCGCCCTTCTCAAATCCAAGAGGATCGGAACATGGGCTGCCTGTGCTGTGTATCTGGTCCACTCAGTGTCACAGTCCGGACAGACAGAGGTGCGTACTGCTCAGGAGAGCTGATGACAGTCACAGTGTATGCGAACAACCAAACGTCACACAGAATTCTTGGCGTGGAATTAGAGCTCATTCAAGACACTATATTTATCGCCTCTGGAGGTAGGATGCCTTTGATAGATTTCAGTTCTTTAATATAAGAATTGCTGGCATACATAAATCCTGAGATTGGATAAACCCGTGTGTAGACTCTAACAGAGACCGCAGAGACCATTCTTAAGTGGTAGGGCTAAAAACTCTGGCCAATACAAACAAACGATAAGGTCAGTGTTTTGCCATTTATCTTTCATTTGCGCGCCATCTGTAGCCCTAGAAAAAAACATCCCAGCAATAAAAGTGATAGGACCCTAGTCCTACCATCCCCTCCCCCTCCGCGGTCCCTGTCTAAGAGAGAATATACCCTTTGCACGACCCTGTCACTACTGCGAGAGAAACTCACAAAAGTCCAGCTTGACTTTGTTATGTTTCAGCATAGCTGATTTTGCAAGTGACCAGGTCATGCATTCAGGTATTTTCTACCACAAGCTCAGTGTAACATATTATTCGCCTGTACTGAAACGAATTCTAGACGTGTCTTTTTTTTTTTTGGCTTTCATCCCAGGTAAAAGAACTTTCACGACAGAAATTCTTGCAACTGTCACAAAAGCGGGCAAGATTCCGAACGCAGAGGGTAACGACTTCTTCGAAATGGTTCCTGTGTTGATCCCATCCTTAACACCAACAATGAAGAGCAGTAGGTGTATAAAGATTTCATATCAAATCAAGGTAATCCGACATTGCAGTAAAACATCATGTGAAAAATTACAGAATCAATGTGTCTTAATTAGCCGGCGTTTTCAAATTCCTTCGGTTTGAAGAACGGATTACAGTGGGTGGAATGTCTAACCGTAGAAATAAAGCTCCGTTTTCAAATTTTTCCGGTGTGGTGTTGATGTGTTGATGGGGTTTTAGTTGATTGTCATGGAACTTCAGCCGGTAACTAAAGAACAGAAAACTTTCAGCAACGGCAACGTTCATTATTTTCAGACTTTTCACCAGGTTTGTTTCTCTCTTTCTAGTTTGCCCTCCTATTGAGAGGATCTGTGAACTTCCGCTTACACCTGCCAATCACAATAGGCTCGTTGCCTGGCCAACTGTCTCAGTCACGCCGTTCGTCTGCAAAGAGTTCAGGATCCACAGCATCGCCAAGCGTATCCTTCATTGGCTTTCCTTCAACATCTCTGGATTACACGGACGGTATGGCATCATATCCTAATGAAGGTCAGTAGTCATATACAGGCAACAGTCACAGCTAGGCCTCGAGAAGCTTACCTTCTAACGGTGAAGTTATTTGGGCTCGTCACGCAATCTTTCCAGTTGGAGCGGAATGCGTAACGAGACAAAAGAAAGTCTTTGTAGGGAGAAGCGTGAAACTCGTCAAAGAATGAGTTAGTTCAACTCAGGGCTGACAGTCACGCGCATCATTACCCTGCCCTGATTTCACCTTTCAACGTTCTTTCTAAGCCAACTAAAATATAAGCAATTAGGAAACTATAAATATCGAAACTTAAAGAGACTATAAAGTCATTTTCAAGTGTCGAAAGAGATTTCGCGTTTTTCTCTTGCAGTTTTACATGTTCGAACACTGGGTTATCTGTTTCTTCAGTGGTTATTGTTCCTGTAATTACTAGATACTGGCATGAAATGTTCTTGTTTCACAGATAAAGAAACAAAATGAAATTTTAATGACGCCATCTTTGCGTCTGTCCTCCAGTTGGTCATAACTAAGAACCAATCAAAATGCGAGAATAATTCGACATATTGTGTAACGCAATTTTTACCACAATTTTGCCACTAATCTCGCAATCTGATTGGTTAATTTGCCGTTGTCGATGAGAGTCCAGACAACGCTGCTCGCGTCAATGTGTCACGCTCTGAAAAAAAAAAAAACATTTTCTTTGATGTTGATATTGTGGTAAGAAAACAAATCGAACGTGAATCGAAATTTGTTGTGGACTCACGAGGCGCAGCCATTTTAAACCACGCGCGTGTAAATTGTGGAACTAAAGATGTCATTTTCTTCTTTCAGCTCCACCTTCGTATGCCGAGAGCGTCAGAGGCCAAACACGAAGATACGATACGGTGTACTTCAACAAAGGACTGAATATGCCGCAGTTAAGAGACAATGTTAAAAAATCATCTTAACTTCCCGGTTCTGCTTTGAAAGCTTTCAATTAACAAAAGGCTTCAAAAGATGGCACAAGTTAGCATCATAGTTTCCATACGGGTATGAGTACAAAATTTAACATGCCTCGATACCTGACGGAATGTAGCCGGTTTGAAATCAAGCGAATTTGTATGTGCTTACATGCTGGCTGGTATTGTCTAACTCAAATTAGCCGTGGTTACACCACCTTAGAAAAAGATGATTTCCGTAGGAGGAAATTGTTGGCCTGAGCGTGGCCGAGTGGTCAGCGCGTCGCGTTTGCAATCCAGCGGTCCTGGGTTCGAGTTCCGCTCTGACCCGGCTACAGGGACCCGACTACCTGGATGACAGTGGCCCCGAATTCAGATCCTCGGCAACATGTGTAAATCAGTAGTCAACAGGTTTGCCTCCGGCCAGTTGGGATTCGGATGGGATTCTTGACAATGTAATATTCTATTTGAATTATTTGCTTCAGTTGTTTGCTCGGCCCCTCTAGCTTTTTTGTTGTAAGCACTGCCGAGGGTAAATAAAGGTTATTTATTATTTAATATTTTGTTTAGTAAAATCTTCCCTTGGTAAAATTAGCGAGCGTTTCAAGTTACTTAGTTAGTAAGGTTACACGTATGCAAGTTATTCAAGTACGGTCCAAGATTCATTCTCTGTGGGTTTATCCGAACTAACTGAGTTTCAAATTAGACGAGATTACACGAAGCATCAAATGGAAAAAAAATATATAAGATAAATAATTAATCCAAGTTAATATGTAATTATTCTGTATGTCTAATGATTTTGTAACTCTAAAAGTTTAACTTAGTTTTCTTTTTTCTTTTTCATTTATTCTCATTTATTCTATAACAAGAATTTTAATGTAATGTTGATAGAGCTTAATTATATTGTCATACCGATTTAGTCATCCGGCCACTACATCCCGATTAGCTAATGCTGTTTGCGGGAAGTGGATGCTTTTGTAAGCGTCTTGAAAAACGTGAATAAATGAATGCATAAATGAATGGATGGATGGACGGACGGACGGACGAACGGATAAATGAATGAATCGGAACTGACTGACCGACCGACCCTCCGACCGATTGACTGACTGATCATGATTGACTGACTAGTAACTCGGTTACATCTGAAATAGTGGGAGAATTGAAGGTAATACGGAGTCAAAGCTGTGAAATTATTTCAAGCAAGCAGCTGCAAATTGTAGTCACCAGGTAACTACGCCGAAAACTGCGGCTTAGTTTAAAAATCACATTTAGACTGCTGGATTTAAAGAAAACTTCAACTTGAAGCTTGATTTGTAAAGCAAAGATCAGTGAAGAGAGTACAGTCTTAACCCTTGGACGTACAAGAGGTGGGGGGGAGATTCCAACCCCCCATGAGGTTTTTTGAAAGTTTTGAAAAGACAATTTACTCCATGGGGCTGAAACTTTCAGTAGCTGTACCTTCATTCTCTGCATAAATTTTGATTCGTCAATTGTGTCCCAATCATTTTTATGTTGCCATGGCAACCATCAAATTTCATGTAGGTCTGGCCAAAAATCAGCTTTTTGAGATAACAGGCCCTTTGCAGCTAAGCCGTCACGTGACCTATTTTTCATAAAATTATGGGCTATAACTTAACGAATGCCAGAAATGGAAAAAGCATGTCTAAAATATCCAATGGCCAAGTCTGAGGCCCCAATCATTAAAGAAGGAGATTTTATGACGGTCCGAATTTTTAAAAGAATAAGAAGATTTGTGTGGAAACCTGGAGAGCAAGACCTTGCTCTCCAGCAACATTTTACATACAAATCCTCTAAATTTTCCGAAAATAATAATTCAAACAGTCGTACAAACGTATTCTTTAATTCCAGGGGCCTCAAACTTGGCCATTTTGGTATTAATTTTTCGATGCGCTCTTTCCATTTCTGGCAGTCTTTAAGTTATAGCCCATAATACAAAAATTTTTGCGGAAAAATTTGGTCACGTGACCCCAGCTGCAAAGGGCCTATCCTGTAGTTTTTCCAGTTTTCTTCATCAAATCGCAGAAATTCATGAATTTGTACAGTTCATAAGCATTCTGGCTTGATTTTGTGTTAATTTCCGTTATTTCTTGACTTTTTAAGAAAGATGGCGGATCCAAGATGATGGGTCAAAAATAGTATCATCTTGTAGAGCAGGTTCCGGGATATCTAATCAATGCAAATTTATTTCGCTCTGCCTTAACAGAACGAAAACCCAGAGTTAAGTTTCGATTCGGAGGGCTCCGAAATAAACTTCGATCGAGCACGTTCGACAACTGTGAACTCACTGCTTAGAGCTTTGAGAGCAATTTACAATATTTCAAGTGACGACGGGGAAGACGTCTTTGCGGACGAGCTGCTTGTATATTAGGAATGGAAAGCTAGATACGAAGTGGAGGAGCAGGCAAACGAAAAGCAGG